GAATTTTCCCAATATATTTGTTTTGTGAATGTTAATTAATTGAATAATTATTTAAATTGGCTTGGCAAGGGATAACTTACATTTTAAAATGTATATCGTTAAATAGTTTTATACATACTGAATTTCACTTAATTTTTTGCTTAATGTATAAATACTATTGTATTATAAGTGCCAACAAAAAATTATACCGGTGATTATCTAAGTTTAAAACGGTTCTAGTCTACATAAAAAAGGTGATTTTGCAATTTGTTTTTGCTGTTTGTTAGATATATACAGTAACCTTTAGTATTTCCTAAAATTTATTCTTTAAGCGCAGGCATTTACTCGCATAATTTATTTATACTTTTATGATTGATTACAAATTTTAATGGGTTTTACTAATTTTTAATTGCGTTTAATATGTTTGTAAAATCAGTTACGATTGTGTTAATATATTTTTTTAACAAACTTTAAATAAGGTTATTATTTCTTTTCATATTAATAAGAGAGACACCAATGAGACATTGTACACCTTTTAGATAATTAAAATAGATTAATATACACATTACAAGAAAATGTCGAAATTCTAACTTTTGTTCAGTATTATCAAAACATTGTGATAATGGCTGGTCATTATTAGGTCTAAATGAAGGAACCAAAGATTATTAATTTTTAGATCCTCATTTTTCGATTTGGAAAAGGAAAATTACATACAAACTAAACCGTTTATTAGAAAACTTTTCAAAAAAGTATCTTTTTTATTTTATATAGAAATTGTATTGATAAAATTTATTGTAGGTGATTAGGTATTTTAGGAAAGTGCCAAATAAATGTTACCCGCAAATAATTTGTAGTTTTATTTTGAGCTCCAAATACGGATTAAACTCTCTGGAAATCCCTAATAANTTTGGATGATCCCAACAGGCCCCGGTTCACTACTCAAGAGTTGAAAGACATATTACACGAAAGGAATGAACTAAAGGCTAGAGTTAGTGATCTGGAAGAAGAATTGGATACATATAGGCCTAAGCCAAAAGTAGAAACGTAAGAAAAGCATCTTTAGGTTGATATGCACAATCTTTTTTATTTTTATTATTATTTAGTTTTTATTATTTAAATGTTTTGGTTTTTTTATTTATACAGAAAAAAACATGTACCAATTAATAAGGGTGTTGAAGTTGTGCCCGAAATTGTCATTAATAATGCAGAGGAGTAAGTTTATTTAATTACCTGTTTCTTAGATAATAATAAATTGTTTTTTATAAAAAGTTATTATTAGTTAGTTAGATATTTTAAATAAGTTATTTATTTATAGGCCTGTAGATGAAGAGGCCCCTGTGCAAGGGCCTCTCCCATATGAGCCTGATGACGCCCCTTGGAAGAAATCAGAATCAGGAATACGTAAATTGTATGTTATTAAAACATTATCATTTATTTCTTTTTGACTGATTTACTTTATATTAATTTTCGTATTAATATAAGGGATTTCCTTAAATTAATCCACATAAAAGGTTTCGTTTTAGTTTTCGTAAGATTTTTTCCGAAACTAACCCTGGGGGTAGTTTTCCTCGTCGCAGTCTATCCACTCTCACGAAAATGGCTCTGTCCTCAACCAGTGAACCCACGCCAGTCTGAGGAGGCACACCAAATCTTTGGCGAATCTCTAACCGATTTAGAATTGACCACTAGCTTTGAGCACGTCATTTAGATGATATTTTATGTAATAATATTTGCAACACACAATGCACTAGGTGTCTCTATGTCGCGATATGGGCAAAATTAATCAATTAATTAATATATTAAAGTAACTTATTACTCGAAAGTTGAAGAGTTGATAAAACAATAAGAATCTGAAATTATTTACATTTTTCTTTTACTGCCAATAACATTGCACATTTTAAAATGTAGTTTTTACATTTTATTATTTTTTAATAATTAGTTACAAGAATTTTCCAATATATTTGTTTTGTGAATGTTAATTAATTGAATAATTATTTAAATTGGCTTGGCAAGGGATAACTTACATTTTAAAATGTATATCGTTAAATAGTTTTATACATACTGAATTTCACTTAATTTTTTGCTTAATGTATAAATACTATTGTATTATAAGTGCCAACAAAAAATTATACCGGTGATTATCTAAGTTTAAAACGGTTCTAGTCTACATAAAAAAGGTGATTTTGCAATTTGTTTTTGCTGTTTGTTAGATATATACAGTAACCTTTAGTATTTCCTAAAATTTATTCTTTAAGCGCAGGCATTTACTCGCATAATTTATTTATACTTTTATGATTGATTACAAATTTTAATGGGTTTTACTAATTTTTAATTGCGTTTAATATGTTTGTAAAATCAGTTACGATTGTGTTAATATATTTTTTTAACAAACTTTAAATAAGGTTATTATTTCTTTTCATATTAATAAGAGAGACACCAATGAGACATTGTACACCTTTTAGATAATTAAAATAGATTAATATACACATTACAAGAAAATGTCGAAATTCTAACTTTTGTTCAGTATTATCAAAACATTGTGATAATGGCTGGTCATTATTAGGTCTAAATGAAGGAACCAAAGATTATTAATTTTTAGATCCTCATTTTTCGATTTGGAAAAGGAAAATTACATACAAACTAAACCGTTTATTAGAAAACTTTTCAAAAAAGTATCTTTTTTATTTTATATAGAAATTGTATTGATAAAATTTATTGTAGGTGATTAGGTATTTTAGGAAAGTGCCAAATAAATGTTACCCGCAAATAATTTGTAGTTTTATTTTGAGCTCCAAATACGGATTAAACTCTCTGGAAATCCCTAATAAGTTTTTATTTACAAAATTAATATTTAAGAGCATATTCTTAGCAATATTTGATTATTAAATTTATGTATTACTTTAATACTTGGGGTTTTAACTGCAATCTATCAATAACATACTGTGGCATACAATATGTGGGATTGACCTGTTTAATATCACCAAAACCTAACAGAGAAAGTGCTGCTAAGCCAAACAAGGTATGGAAGGGATCTGGTATGTCACCAGGTCTATCTGCAAATCCTCCTGATTCTGTATCCTGACAAGCCAAAATAAACCTTTTAAGAGTCTCTGAACTAATCCAATGGAGACGACCAATGATTGATAAAGAAGACAAAACCCACCATGAATAACAAACATCAGGCAATTTCTCTGGACGTCCATTGAGACCACCTGAAGACAACTGACGCTCACACAACCACCATGCCAGAGTATCCTGTTCAACAATATCCAACCGCCCTAATGCAATCAATATTTAAGATATTTTCACTCCTGTCATGGGATTGAAAATTTTACCTGTAACTGATAAGAAACCTAAGCAACAGTATATAAGACCGGCATGACTTTCTGATTTTGGTCTGGATCCAAATCCTCCATCAAAATTCATGCAGCTTTTGACAAACTCCACAGCTTTATCCACATTTATAGCATTCAGTCTTTTCAATAAGGACAAAGTGGCTACAGCACAAAAGGAAAACCTTGTGTCAACTTCTCCCCATTTATCTCCAGTAAAGCTTCCATCAGGCAATTGTAAAGAAGCAACGTATTTAATAACTCCCTCAACATCAATAGCATCAATCCTATTGTAGATACACAATATTTGGACAGCACTTAGAGTATGAAGCAGATGAGGGTCATGGTCAATGCAAGCACTAATCCCTCCCGTTTCAGGGTCTTGGCACTTTTGAATAAAACCAATAACTTCTTCTTTCGGTAAAGAATCTAGTTTATCTACCAGTTCTAAGGCAGTGAGGCCCCAATACATGCCAGAAACTCTCAAGTAGTCCGTCATACCATATTCAAAGTCGTTTTCGGATTGGCCATACTGCTTTATAAATTTAATGTGCTTCTCCAAAAGTAGTGTTTTTGGATACTCTTCTTTTATTTCGATATCTTTTAAGGGTACTGCCATTTTAAAATTGTTTTATTACTTATTATTCATTAGAATTTGACAAACATATTTTAAGGTTATATTAACCATATCAAAGTATGTCATAGACATATATAAGAATATAGCACGCGTTCAAAATGAAAATCAAAGATTGTCGAAGAAAGACAGGAAACAAAGTTAGTGTAACTGTTCTTACTTACAAAACAGTTGCTTGACTTTATGTTTTCCTCTCAAGCTATTTCTAATAAGTTATCATTCCATATTCCATTTAATAACGTGATCTATCTTTATTATACCTCTGTGATAGGTCAGCACTGGTTGTGTCTAGGATACCGTAAATATTGTAAGTCTTTGGTATCAAGTTTCGTATGGCGTCTTCAGTTCTTTAATATGAAAGGTTGATGTTTGTGATTAGGTCACTGATTTCGTAGTGAACTTATATTCTGATCCAAAGTGCTCAGTGCTCTACAGATTAGATCGAATCATCGGTTCTTACCCCATTTCAATTTGAATTTGTTGAAAAGCAATCAAGATGCAAAATATTTGTAGGACTTGCTTAACCCCAACAGCGGGTAATACCACTTATTCAGTATCTGCAACGCTTTGCTTGAACGAGTCTGAAGAAATGATTTCGGTTAAGAAAATGCTCAGATATTGCGTTCCCGAAATGGTAAGTGATCCGAATTTTAGTATGTTCCATGTGTAAATTTTTTCTTCAATTTGTTGAGGCTCTGGATATGATCCAGGAATCAATAATTTGTCATAACTGCTTGATGGCCTTGAGTGCTTCTTTTCAATTCAAAACAAACTGTTTGAAAAACGAGAAAAGACTTCAGTGTTTTATAAGTTCCTCCACAAAAAATTTGAATTTTGGTAAAATCTTCAATGATCAAGATGGACATCCAGATTACAATATATCCAAAATACACACTTGTTGTGTATGCCAGAAAACTTTTGTGTCTGAAACTTTTCTGAAAAAGCACATAAAAACACACGAAAACCAAATCAAATATGAATGTGGAGTTTGTGGGAAAATATTTACAGAACCAGTACGACTGAAAGTACATATTCTAACACATGGAGAAAAGGAACAGCAAAGTGGAAGTTCCCAAGATGGTAACTATTAGAATAAAGGTTTAAAAATTCACCATACATAATTTTAAAATTTCAGAAGCAGATTTTGATGACAGTGTTTCATCAAAAATCGCCCCCTTTATGCTTGCTACTTCACAGAATCTTGAAAACTCGGGAAATTTTGAAGTTGTCAATGTATTGGAAAACAAGGATGATCAGTACAAAGCAGAAACACGTAAAATTTGGACAGATGAAGAGACCCTCCATTTCCTTAATTTGTGTAAACGACATGTAAAGGATATGTATCAAGGACCAAAGAAGTCTTTATGGTCGTTGATATCAAAAAAATTGGCATCTAAAAATATACATGTAAGTTCCGAACATAATCAACAACTAAAGCTGACAAATACGTTTTTACTATGTTTAAATGGAATATTGCTAAATGTCTGTGTTCTTTTAACTTTTTTACCACGTTTAAGGTATCAGATAAGACACCTAAGACACTTGGTATATCATACAGAGGACGTAACTAATAATGTATTATAATTGTGTTATCTACATTTATTTTATTATCAATATACTGTATCATTATGGTGTTAGTCACATATATATGTTTTAGCAAGTTATTGGTCGCGATAGGGAGTTTAAATGGATTAAATGAAACAAACAAATGATATAACTAGTAAACATTGTTTCATCATTTGATGGGAGAGGGTATTAATCCCAACATTGGGATAACGTATGACGCACTTGTGTCCTTATGCACTAGTTAATGCTATTAGCCAGTTAAGTTGTAATGAACCGAATATTAAACAATTGTTGCGTCTATATGCAGAACATTAGTAATAGTTATATAATAGTAGCGGTGAGGCATTTATGTTATTTAAAAGACAAAAGGAACAAATATTATGTCGTGTCGTTAATTATAATCAAACAGGGCGGGGTTCAACGCGATAGGTTGGGGGATATTTCAGGGATGTATGCTACATGTTTAAGAAGGTGAGCAGCCTTACTTGGAAAGTATAGAACTAATTATTTAATGTAATGGCTTCCTATATTTAGGATTAGTATAAAAACCTGAATGTTACAGGTATCCTTAGACCAGTGCGAATCGAAATGGAAAAACCTCATTCGTACTTATAATCTGGTCAAAGCAAAATTGACCAAAGATCCGAAGGCCCAGACAAAATTTCACTACTTGTTCGAGTTCGACGAGCTCATGTCGATGTTAGAAAAAGTCCGACCGCGATCTAAAAGCGAAGACTGCGACGAGGACAATTACCAGGAGGGCTTTCATGGCTTTGACGGTTTTGAGAACGGCAACGATGACACGATCATCATCGACTACGATGATGGTAGAGGTGACAATGACGGGGACACCGACCACAGCGATGAAGTCGCAGAGGACGACAACGCAAAAATATGGACGAGTGAGGAGACGTTCGCACTCCTGGATGCCATTAGGCAGAAGAAAGAAGAAATGGGAAACGACAAATCGCCTCGCTTTTGGGACTCCATCGCCAACGATTTGTGCAAATACAACTACTATGTAAGTACTGTACTGTTGTTACTAATTGTATATAATGGGGTAATTTTCTAAGGTTGATAATGAACGTGGTAAAAAAGGTAACAGGGCACCTCCAATCTTTCTTTTTAACAAACCACTAACATTGAGTCAATTCTTAACTAGTTCCTTTAATGCTTCAATTGGTCTTTTGTAGGACCATTTAACTACACCCTACATATACGATTGGTAGTTATATTGATTATAAAGTGATCAATTTGTGTTTAGGCGACACCATATCAATGCGATACAAAATGGAAGTCGCTGAAACGGACACATCGGAAAGTTAAGGAGCGCATATTAGATACGAAGGTGACCACGACGAAATTCTCCTATTTTAGTTTAGTCGATGAAATAATACGTAACGAAGAAGTGTTTGAAATGGACAAGGATACAAAGTCGTTGCAAAAAATTCTGGAAAGCACGATGGATGATGACGACGATGATGATGACTCTCGCGAAGTGTTTGCAAAAAAAATAAAACTGGATGAGGATAAGGACATTGTACAGTCAAGTTAATTAGTGAAAAGTTCATGAGTGTGAAAGACTATTAATAATAAAATTTATATTT